CACGAGTGTTTACGTGTCCAGGCCACCCAGGGAGTATAACGTGTTTTCGTTCGTGTGTCCAGGTCTTCCAGGCGGATGACTGGCCTGAGGATGTTTTGAAGATGTCTCCAGGAAAACGCTTGTGTGTTACGTGTCTTGTTTTCACGTGCCCAGGCCACCCACGGGGGTATCTAACATGGAATTCCCGAGCTGGAACCATGTGTTTTTACGTGTCTAGGCCGCCCAGAGGGGCATCTAACATGGTTGCCAGAGAGGGCTCGCAGACGCGAGGACATGCCTCCCCGGCTCGCCCTTCCCGGCCCCCGGGGGGAAAACAACTACGGGGGAAAAACCAGCGTTCCCCCGCCCCCCACCCCCCAGGAGAAACAAACAAAGCCACCGAGGGGAAGAAAAAAGAAAACACGGGGGGGAAAAAACACGCCCCCCGGGGGGGAAACAAACAAACTACCGGGAGGGAGGGGGGAAACGTTCCCTCTGCTTCTGCATCCTCGCCTCGTCGAGCCATCGTCAGACGATGAGTTGGCCCGACGCCGCTGCAGCTCGTCCGCCATGGGTGCCCAGGGGTCTTGCACCTCCACACCCTGCATCCTTATCCGTAAGGGCTTCGCCCCCTGCCGCCGGCCCCTCTCTATCAGAATGGAATACATCAGAGTCGCGTCGGTGCGTCTCGGCGCTGCCTTGGCGCATCTGGGAGCATCATGCGGGGGAGGATCGGAATCATCAGCGCATGTTGAGACGTTGGCGTTATCGAAGGCGCCTACGGCGAATCACCGCTGCCATCTGCCTTGTTGAAATCGCCCATGTGGCCGAGCGTTGTAGTAAGAGCTCTGCCAAGCTATCGAGTCATGCGTTCCCCCAACCGTTGTGGAAACCCTTGGGGAACGTTTGGGAGGGATGTCAGGGAAGAGCAGGAGGAGGACGAGCAGGAGGACGAGGAGGAGCAAGAGGAGGAGGAGGAGGAGGAGGAGGAGGAGGAAGAGGAGGGCATCTTGGGAGCCTCTTAAGACTTTTGGGGGCACTCTTGGGGCCTCCTGGGAGCTTTCTGGGAGCCTCTTGAGGGCATCTTGGGAGCCTCCTTGGGCCTCTTGGGGGCCGTGGGGGCTTCTCGGGGTCCTCTTTGGCCGTCGCAGGGTGTTCCTGGCCCGTTTGACGCCGTCAGAAACCCTCTTGAGGTGCTCCAGGGCTGTCTTGGAGGCCATCTTGTGCGTCTTGGAGGCCTCTTTGGCCGTCTGGGCGGCTCTATTGGGGCCGTTTGGGAAGCCTCTTGGGCCGTTCTGGGGCCATCCTGGAGGCCTCTTGGGTGATCTTTCTGGGCTCTTGGGCCGTCTCGGGCCGCCGAAAGGCCGAAAAGAAACACATACCAAACTCCGTCACACACACAAACACACACACACACACATACACACACACACCACACACACAAGGAACATCAATTAGTTTGGCCTCTTCGGGCCTTCCTGGAGGCCCTCTTGGAGGCCTCTTGGGCCGTCTTGTGGACCTCTTGTGGGCCTCTTGGGACGTCTTGTGCCATCTTAGAGCCATCTTGGGCCGTCTGGGTGGGCTCCTGGCCCGTCTGACGCCGTCGGAAGCTGTCTTTGGGGCCCAATTTGGGCCGACTGGGCCTAGAGCGCCCAAGAGCGCCCCAAGAGGGCCCCAAGAGACCCCCAAACACGCTCCAGGAGGCACTCAGGCAGCTCGGGAGAGCCCCAAGACAGGCCAAGAGGGTCCCGAGAGACTCCCTGGAGCGCCCAGGAGGCTCCCACACGGCCCAAGATGACGCCGAGACGGCCCCAGATGAGACAGCCCAAGAAAAACCCAGAAGCCGACATGAGGACCCAAGAGGCCCCCAAGAAGCCCCCAACAGGCCTGAAGACAACCCCGCGCGGTGCCAGGAGCCCCCAGGGTAGCCCGATAGGGTCACCAGGATCCCCTCCTGATTCAACGTCCTTCTCCAATTGCCTGTTACTGTCCTCCGTCGTCGTCGTCCTCATCGTCCTCCGCGTTACTCCTCGTGCTCGCCCTCGTTCTCTTCGTCCTTGTCCTTGTGCTTCTCTTCCTCCTCGTTGTCCTCATGCTCCTCCTCGCTATCCTCACGTTCTCCACGTCGTCCTCGTCATCGCCTCCTCGTCGCTGTCGCCTTCCTTTTCTTCCTCTTCGCCCACTCAGCCCATTGGGCTACTGCGGCGCTTCCCGTTCTTGTCCGATCAGGCTTCTAAGCACTAGAAACAATTCACATAAAAATGCTTCGCGCGGAGTTCATAGGTCGGCGCCTGGGGTCCCCCTGGCGGCGCCTCGGGCGCCGCCCCTGCCGCGTTCCAGGCGTCAGAGAGAGGGATCCAACGCCGATGCAAGAAATCTGGGCGGACGTCTGAAAATTTGTGCACATGCATCTGTTTATTATGCTAACGTCAAACCCTGCAACTTTACTACAGATTGCACTCGGGCAGTCATCTGACCGGGCTAGGACGAGGATAAATCCGTACCAGAGCATTCCGAACGCTCTCAGAGCGTTCTGGAACGCTCTGAGAAGGTCGCGGCGCCCGAGACATCCTCCAGAGCCGCCGGATCTCACAAATTCTGGATTCATCCTCACCCGATGTTATCCTTGTCCTGGTTTCGTCTTTAATCACGAAGGGCACGTCCGGTCGGCGATCGACATCGACCGCGCCTCCCTTCTCGAGAGGGCCGTGCGCTGGACGGGTCGAAGTCTCGCCCTCGGCCGCGTGCCGCAGCTGTTCGGCAGCGACCGGGCAGCGCAAGGTGGGCTGAAGTCCAGCCCGCCAGATTGGCACAGCGCGTCGAGGATGGAATTCCGCGGAGGGGAGAGGGGGGAGGCGAGAGAAGCGTGGGGGGGGGGAGCGGCGAGTGGAGCAGGAGGCTGGGGGCAGGGGATGGGCGGGGAGAGGCAAGGCCGAGGGGTTGGAGGGTGAGGGACTCAGGGGGCTGGGGTGAAGAGAGACTGGATGATGAGGGGGGGAGGGATGAATGGGGGAGTAGGGGTGAGCCAGGGGGAGAGGCGAGGTGGGGAGAGAGGAACAGCGCCTGGCGATGAGACGGCACGGGGGAGGACGGGACGGGGGGGAAGAGAGACTACAAGTTTTGAGGATGTATGTTTGTAGGGGGACGCCCTCCTGCGTTGCAGCACTAATGCATCTACATCCGCCCTTCTCCCCGCTTCCATTTCTTATCATTATTATGTCGATTATTATCATGATTACTCTTCTTATGATTACTCCGTTCCTTTATTTCCGGTCTCCACCTTGCATTCATCCTTCTCCCCTCCTCCGTTTTTTATACCGCATGATCATCCTTCTCCTTCCTCGTACCCTCCAGGACACGCGTGCGGTGACCATGGGCTGGAGTACTCGGGCACCATTGCGGCTCCATTGGCAGCGGTAATTACCTCTAGCGACGTCGTCGACCCAGCTTCTCCCGTGCCCTCGCGCTCGTTCTCTCTCTCTCTCTCGCTTTCGTGTGTTCTTTCTCTTTCTTTGTTTCCCTCTTTCTCTCTCTCTCTCTGCCTCTCTCGCTCTCTCTCTCTCTCTCTCTCTCTCCCCCACTCTCTCTCTCTCTCTCTATCTCTCTTTATGGGGAATATTTCATGAGGTTCTCACACGCACTCACATTCCCCACTGTTTCTCCCTCTGCCCTGTGCCCTGCTCAGGCCTCCTTGTGCTCTTCCTTTCCTGTGCTCATTATTTCGCCCTTCCTGATTCCCTCTCTTGCAAGTAACCGTGGACAAAACTTGGCGACATATCAGCTCGGCTTAAATCAATTCAGGCTGGCTTGCCGTAAACCTACATGGCACCGCCCGCGATACACGCGTGGTATCCATTTATGTCGGTGTTGCTGGCTGCGGTCGTTGTTTCGGCTACTGCTGTTGGTATCGCAGGCGCTCATCGGCCTTATCCTGCTCCTCCTCGTCCTCCTGCTCGGTTGTTTGTTCATCTGTATCACCCTCCCTGTGTTCCTCTTCCCCGTGTTATGTGTCCTGCCCTGGACGGTTGACCAAGCAACGTGTTGTGTCGCCATGCTGCCCCGTAGCACAGACGTTGCGCCCCCAGGCGTGGCATCTCTCCTTGTTGTTGCAGTTGCAGCGTCTCGTCCGTTGCCGCCCCATCTTCGTCCAGCCTCTTCCTCTTCTTCTACTCCTCCATCGTCCCTCGGGCATCCTCCTCCCTCCTCCTCCAGCGAGTCCCAGACAGGCCCTAGAACTCAAACCCTTGATCTTCCAAAAATATGTTTCCACGATCCTCCTTCTCCCTCTGAAGGCGACCTCTGGGAGTCATTCCCGTGCGGAGCACCCATCTGTCAAGTGGGCGTGGCAAGAGGAGGATGAGGAGGTGTAGGGAGGGAGGGAGGGCGGGTCTCCCGGGGAGGGATGCTCCCCCACGGCGGGGGAAGCCATCACAACCCTTAGGACGCCCCCCCCCCCCAGACTCGCCCCCTGACCCCCCGGGACACCCCCACGCCACCCCCCCGCGGGGAAGGCACCAAAGGGAAGTTCCACCCAGCCCTCCCATGTTTTTTACACGCCCTCCCCCCCGACCTCTCGACCCAGACCCCTTCAGGGGACCAGTTTCTCGTCCCGAAACATCATTTTCGACGGCCCCAGGGCCCGAGCACTGTCTCTGTTGCTGCCAAGTTTGCGAAAGGCTCAGTCCTGTTTCTGCTGCATGGCGTCGGAGGCCTCGGTCTGCGGATGTCCGGCCGTTGCAACAAGAGGTCCCTTGGATGCCCGGATGCCCAGAGATGGCGAGCACACGTCGATCTTCGGGGGGAGGTTGGAGGGGGAGGGGAGTCCTGCTCCTTCCTCCCCCCCTCGTTCCCCGCAACCCCTCGGTGGCAGGAGCTATTTTGCTAGGAGTCTCCTCCTTTTTTCTTCTCGTCTCCTTCTTCGCGCTGGCAGGGTCTTTGCCGTGCTGGCTTTAGTCTCGCCCGGCGCTTTCTCCGTTTCTTCCCTGCCTTCTCTTCTCCCTCCGTTGGCGACGCTTCGCGTGATGTTCCCAGCTTGCCTGGTGGTCTTCAGCCTTACGTTGTGAAGCCAAGTGTGAGATGGTTCTTGCTGGAAGAAACACTTCGGTGGGTGGATAGGCGCTCCACCACCAGAATACATCCATGGTCCATATTCACCTCCTCGGAGTTGTGCCCCAGGATCTCGAGGGCTTCCCGAGGACAGGTGGATACGTGCGGATACCTGCCCGACTCGGAGGGCGGGGAGGTACACAGATTCCATGGTTCTTTCGGCGGCCATCTCCAGCCTTTCTGGAATTTTCAGCGGCCATGGCGACGACGACGACGACGACGACGGTGACTGCGGCGGCGACGGCGACGGCGACGGCGACGACGACGGCGGCGAGCAGCTGCGAATGTGGAAGCTTCTTGCGGGTGCAGATGAACGCCCCCCCCCCCGACGGCCGCGACAGCTTGTCGCGGGCCGCCCTTCGGAGAGGTGTCCCGCGTGGCGAGCCAGGCCAAGAAGCTGGGCGTCAGGCTGCGCGCCGTCCAGCCCCTTTGCGGATCGCAGGCTGCCAGGAAGGTGTTTCTGCCCCGACGTGTGTCCGCCCCCTCCCCCTCCCGCTTCTGGCGCGAACATGGAGCCCCTGGGTTTCGTAAGGGATCTTGTGGGTCTCCTCCATGGATGCCTGCCGTGGTTCTTCTCCAGGCCACTTGTTTACCAACGCACCTCTGACGTGCACGGCGCTTCTCTTTTTCTTTTTTATATAAAAAACAACAAAACACAATACGGCATGAACACAGCATTTAGGAGCTCCGTGCGGATTTCTTGGATCTGCGCTGGATCCCCCAGGCGCCGACTCTGGCGCGCTCCGCTCGCCGTGACGGGGTTCGGCGCAGATCCAAGAGATCAGCACGGACCTTCGACAGTTTATGTTGATGTATGTTTATATTTGTCTACTTTGGGCCTCGTGAGGGCTGCCCTGGGTCTTTTCCAGGGCCTCCCTGGAGAAGCGGACGCCGCGGGGCGAACGCATTCCAGGACTCGCGCCCAGATTGTGGGAGTGTTTCAAGCGGGTTGCTTGATTCAGCCCCCAGCATCTTTTGTTTTCGGAGCAGATTGTGAGAATTTCTCAGGCGAGGTGCTGGTTTCATCACTTCCAGTGGGCGGGGGGGCGCCAGGGGTGGGGACATTCCAAACTTTCTCCTAGGTAGTGGTGATGTCTCAAGCGGCTTGCTTGTGCCTGCACCCCAACATCCTTTGTTGTCAGAGCAGATTGCGAGGATGTCTCGAACTCGCGCCCAGTTTGTGGTCACGTCTCAAGCGGTTTGCCCGTCTCTGCCCCCCAGCATCCTCTGTTTTCGCGGAGCAGATTGTGAGGATGTCTGGGGCAAGGCGCTCGCTTCAGCACGCCTACGGGGATGGGGCGGGGGGGGTATTCCCAAACTCGCATCCGGCTTGCTGGAACGTCTCAGACACTTTGCTTGTTTCTGCCTTCCAGCATCTTCCGTTTTAGAAGCAGATTGTGAGGACTTATCAAGCGAGGCGTTGTTTTGAGTATTCCCGAAGGGGGAGCCAACATGAGGTATCTCACGGGCCCGTTCGCGCCCACACTGTAGGGATGGTTCAGGCGGCTTAAATGCCCACCGCGATATAGCAGGCGCTGCGTTTGGGTACCCCAAGGGGGGGCGCCAAGCGTCAGGACGCTCCAGGATTCGCGCGCAGATTGTGGGGATGTCTCAGGTGGTTTGTCTGTGCTGCCGGCCCAGACTTCTTTGGTGGCCCATTGCTCACAGTTGATATAGCAGGCGTGGTATTTGGACGCCCCAAAACCAAGACGCCAGGCATGGGGACATGTCATTTTCCGCTCCCAGATTGCAAGGATGTCTCGCTTTCAGAGCATATTGTTTTTTTGATACACCCGCAGCTCGAGGGCACGCTGCCCGCGGCGCGAGCCCGGCCGCCCGGCCGCCCGGCCAGCCGCGCGCGCGAGGCCCGGAGAGAGCGCGCGGTGGCACCTCGCCGCCCGGCCCGCCGCGCGGCCCCGGACCCCCACAGGCCATGCAGGAGATCCTTCCCCGGCTCGAGGGGGGGCTGCGGCTGGCCTGGCCACGGCCCCCTGGCCAGACGGCGGGCCCCGGGCAAGCTGTGGGGACACCGGCGGCTGCAACCTGAGCTGCGAGGATGTCTCGAACGAGGCGTTTCTGTCACAGCAACTCGTGAGGATGTGTGAGGCGCTGGCAGGAGGAGGATGAGGAGGAGGAGGAGGAGGAGGAGGAGGAGGGGGAGGAGGAGGAGGAGGGAGGAGGAGGAGGAGGAGGGAGGAGGGGGAGGATGAGGAGGAAGACGGAATAGGAGGCGGGATTATGACGGAACAGGAGGAGGGAGGGGAAGTAGGATTTGCGATCAGGCAGGTTGAGAGGATGTCTCGAGCGAGGCTCTAGTCTCAGCACCCCAAGAGGGAACCGCCAGAGGGGTTTTGACTTCGACGCCTCCGCTTCACACCCCCCTCCTCCACCTCCTCTTCCGCATTCACACACACACTCAGACTCGCTCACGCTCAGACCCACCCACATTCAGCCCCCCCCTGCTTGCTCATTTTCTCCACACGGGTGCCAGGATTTGTCCACCCCGACCAGCGCCAATATGATGCAGGTCAAGTTTAGGTGTACCGGCCTATCCGCCATGTTCGGCCCGTCTCTGGTGATATTCCGTCTTCTCTTCTTCCTCCTCCCCCTTCTCCTCCTCTGTCGAGGCTTTCGACCATCCGCGACCGCTTAGCTTGCAACCCGCTCTCGCTTTTCGAATCCTCCATCCTGCGGCCGGCGCAGAGGGGGGAAACTTGTTCTTTTTAGCGTGCTCCGTCTCTCTCCCACTCTCCCAGGCCACGTTCCAGTTCACGTGTTTGCCTATTGCAGGTCGGCTCTTGGGGTGCACTTGGTTTTGCCTGGCGGCTCTTGGAATCGCATTGCGAATAAGGTTGAGTAGATTATTTGGCAGTCGGTTGTCAGCGGTATGAAGAATTTGCACCACGCATCTTGCACCACATAGCGTACTCGTCCTCAGTGCAAGAATTGAATGCGTGAGGTCGGCGGTGGCAAACATGTTGGTCGAGGCTTTTATGCATGTTGCTTTAACTTGCTTGGGCCTGCAGCGGCCTCAACGGACCCCCGAAAGACCAAGAACTCACGGGGACCTCGCGTGATGGCGACGACAGCAGTGGTAGTGATGAAGGAATATCGTGAGCGTGTGGCATGCGTTTGGTTGTCGCGGCCTGCGCGGCAGGCCTGGCTGGAAGATCCACGAGATCGACGGCCACTCCGTCAGCAGCGACGAGGATTGGCCGTGGGTTTGTGCCACTCGCAGCCCATAAAGGCTGATGGTCCGAAGTTACTGAAGACGCCTACGGCGAATCACCGCCGCCCCCTGCCCTGGTACGCCTATGTAGCCAAATGTTTGGGCAAAGCTTGGCCACGCTGTGAGACCATGCGTTTCCCCAGCCGTTGCGAAAGTGTTTCGGGGAACACGTGGGGGAGGAAGAGGATCAAGTAGCGGGCCGCCGCCCGCGATCGTTTCTGGTTTTCTGCGCCGTAAACTCAAGAGCTCTTGAGCCAAACGTCAGCGGTCTGAGCGGGTGAGAGGGGCAACGGCACTGGCAGGCTGGGAAAGGGGATGATCGCAGATGCAATTCAACACCCGTCCTCGATCATCCAAGCTACATTGTTCGAGACCGATCGGTCGACCGCTCAAGCCAGCGTCCGTGAAACCGATCTCGGCGGAAGTGGCGCGGAAGCGCCGCGAAACGAAGTCGGAGATCCCGACTCGCACATGAAAGTAGCCTGCTGCATGCCATCACTCACCCTGGTACTGGTTCTGCTCTGAGCGTCGAGGGCCCGACGCTCGTTCGCACGCCTGTGGCGTGCCGCCCGTATCGCCTCCTTCGCGGAGGCTGCCTCGGCAGAGACCTTCACGCTCACGTAGCCGTCGTGCATTGCGGTAGTCAGGTAGCCTCTCTCGGCCTCGAGCTTCGTCAGAGCGTCCGCCAGCTGAACAGAGGTGTCGCACCACTCCAGGTCCACACCGTCTTGGCTGAGCATCTCTCGTAGGGCCGCAATGACCACTCGAACTCGACGATCAGCGATCTGGCCAGCATCCGCGAGCAAGTGGGTGACAAGGCTGTTCGCATCATCGAACCACTTGGCTGGGATCAGTGTCGCAGCATCGTCCACCAGGTCGCCCAGCGGCTGGTTGGGCTTGTCCATCTCGTAGTACAGCGCCCGGATCCACTCCAGTGCTTCAGCTCCTTCACTGAGTCCGTGTGCTTCAGCTCCCATTGACGCTCGACAAACTCTCTTGATACGTGAGCTCCCCCAGTCCAAGACATGTACTGGTCCTTCCTGATGTTTGTAGAGGCCGTCGTCGCTGAGTAGGCACACGAATCCGAGCTGTGACTTCACTTTCTCGCCAATCGGGCCCAGGTCGTAGTCGTCAACGTTGTTGAGGCTGCTGTCCGCGAACACGACTGAGCGTATGTCTTCGTCTTTATGTAGAATGTCGCTTCGGAAGCAGATGCACACCCCACGCGTCTCCTTGCAGTAGCGAACCAGCTTATTCATTTCCAACAGGTGCTGCACGGTCGCATGGTTCTTCTGCTGCGCCAGCCAGCTGTAGCCGAATGAGACGTCCATACGGAGCTGCCTCGATAGCCATCCGAGTGAGCCAATCACCGACTCCGCAGCGCTCCGCTCCTCGTCCGTAGCCATCGCCTTGGTCTGCTTCGCCCTGGCCGGGGACATCACGACAGTCTCCATCTGGTCGATGAAGTGCGCCATGCTGATCTTGATCGTGTAGTCCGCCATCTGATCGACGTCCTTGCCGCAGTACCTGAAGGGCGGCTTCTCCTCCGTCAGCAGCAGCACCCGCTTGAGCTCGTCCGTCGTGGCCTTGAACAGGTCGCTGTTGGGGTCGCCCGTCGCGAACAGGTCCACGTAGGTGCCGACGAGGCCGACGAGCCTGTTGTGCTCGAACAGGAGGAAGAACGCCATCTCCAAGCGGCTCTCCTGCCACGAGTTGCTGCGCAGCGTCCTCCGTAGCTTACTCCACCATTTTCTTCCAGCGTCCTTCGTGCCGAAGATCGCGCCATGGCAGATGAACACCGATCCTTGCTCAACTCCTGGTGGTAGTGGCGAGGGAGGTCGCAGTACGAGCATCCTGTCGACGTCGTCTCCTTGCAGGTAGGCACTCGTGGCGTCGAGCTTGTAGAGTGGCCAGTGCTTCCTGGCCGCCGCGCTGCAGATCACGTGGAACACAAGCAGTCACGACGTAGGCGAGTCCGTCCTCACGTGGACCGACTCGTAGCAGCCGACCGCCGCCAGCCTGGACTTCGCCTTCAGAGGGAGCTTCGGGTCGTCCTCGTTCTTGTTCGTGTGTACCCATCTCGACGGTATCGCCTTGACCCGACCTAGCAGCTCCTTGGCCGCGTCGCCCGTGACCACGGTCACCGCCCTGAAGTTGCGCCAGTTGTCCCACTCCTTGGCCATGCTCGCGTCGAAGAGGAGCTTCTCCGCCCTCGTGAGGTCCGCGAGCTTGAGCCCCTTCCCTCTGGACTTGCCGGTCAGCCAGGCGCGCTGCATCCAGGCGTAGAATACAGCGTCCGAGTCGGGCTCCGCCAGGAAGGCTCCAGACATGGGCCCTCCCCCCTGCCGCCGTGGCGGCGTGCGCTCTGGCCCGTAGGTCGGAGAGCCAGGCGGAAACTCGCCAGTCCCAGGGGATCTCGGAGGAGGAGTGGTAGGCTCAGGTTGGATATCATCATCTCGATCGATCTCACCACCTCGGTTATCATCATCATCATCATCATCATCATCATCATCATCATCATCATCATCGGGCACCGGTACGTCTTCGCCAGGTACAGATCCACGCTCGTGGGCTGGCTCAAGTACTGGGGCCAGTGGGGTGAGATCCTCGCCCTGCCGTGCCACACTCGGCTCCGAGCCATGGCCTCCGGGGGCAGAGCTCAAGGGCTCAGGATCGCCGGGGCCAAGTCCCCCGCCCGGGGCCCCCACGGCCACCTGTGGTGCCGGGGCGTGGCTCGGAGCACTAGCGGCTGCGCTCGGTGCTGCCGCCGTCGTTCTGCCTGGTAGCGGGGCCTCCTCGGGAAACTCAGCGGCTCCCTCTTCCAGTCCTTCGCGTCGTACGTCCAGGAATCCACGAGGTCCTCGGGGTAGAGCAGCGCCTCGCTGATCTGCTGGCATCTGGTCCCAGGTGATCAGCTCGTCCTCCGTCGCGAACCCCAGCTGCTCGGGCCTCGCCAGGGCCTCGCCGCCACCATGCCGTAGCCAAACCGCGCGAGGGCTGCCCTGAACGGCAGCAGGTCGAAGCGTAGCGTTGATCCCGTCGGCCATCTTGTTGGGGCTGCGGAAGTCGTGGCCGATCACGCGGGCGACGCCGAACCAGCGGTGGAACAGCGCCGGGGACTCGCTGGGCCTGACGTGCGTCCTCCCGAAGTAGACGTAGGCTCCGACTGGGAAGAGTCCCCTTGTAGGTGTCGACCTCGCTAGATTCGCTCTCCTCACTCGGTTGTCGTTATCCATCTTCACGAAGGCAACCTCGGCCGCCTCGCGCCAGAGCAGGTTGGAGGCCATCGCGGACTCGGGGTCGAGCGCTGCCTCCTGCACGTTCAGCTTCTCCGCCTCGGCGTCCTGCAGCATCGAGCCGGGGATGCGTAGGCCACGCGTCCCGAGCACCCAGTTGGACGGCGCGTGGCCGTCGTAGATCACCGTCTCGTTACGAGCCTGGTTGATGATCCCGCAGAGTGTCCGTAGGTCCTGCTCCTTCGTCATCTGCGCGTCCTGCACCGCGCGATGCCGCGCCTCCTTCCAGACGCCGCCCAGCCGCTCGATCCTGCCCAGCTGCTCGTGAGCCCCCAGCGCCGCGTTCTCGGTCTCGACGCCGTTCTCGAACATGTGGGCCACGAACTGCTTGGCGAACTCCTTGCCGCGGTCCACGAACAGTGACTGGGGTAGTCCGGCCCGGCTGCACCAGACCATGAGGAACACGTCCAGCGCGACCTTGGCCGAGGGCGCGTGGGTGCCCTTGCGCAGGTACCAGACCACCTGGAATCGCGCCCCGTCGCACGCGATGATGAGGAACGCGCGGGTGCCGCCCGTAGCGTCGTGGGCGAACAGGGTGTCTAGCATCACGTGGAAGTTGAACTGGTAGCGTCCCGGCATCCGCACCGGGCGGACGTGCTTCGTCCTGATCATGTCGCCGCAGGCGTCGCACCTGAAGTCCCAGACGGCCTCCAGGAACTCCTTTTTTCGCTCCCGATCTTCTCGGGCACCTCGCCAGCGTCACGTTGGTAGGGTGGCCGAAGTTCACCTGCAGGTTGCGGATGTCGCGTCTGGCCGCTGGGTCGACTGCCAGCCGCCGCGCTCGCCTCTCCGTCTCCTCGGGGGAGAGCGTGGGCTCGAGGTTCGCCGCCGCCTCGGCCCTGGCGCCTGCCGGGTCCACCGCGGGCCCGTCCTCATCTGGAACTCCATATCGTGGAGGGCCTTCTTGGGTAGGCCGCTCGCCCTCTGGGGCCGAGCGTTTCGCCGTCCGCTGCTTGCCTCGAAGTCGCCGTCGCTTCGACTCCGGGAGCAGCTGCTGTGTCGCCTCCGTCGGGTAGCAGTCCACCACGCCAAGCCCCTTGATGACGTGCTCGCTGACGTCCAGGTCGATCTGCTGCTCGATCGCGTGCAGGACGAGCCTGTCGAGCTTGTCGGGCCACCTGGCCGCGGCCCAGCTGGTCTTCTTCTCGTTCTCGAGCGGCACGTGGTCCTGACTGCGGTCGCACTACAGGTCACGCAGCGCCTCGTGGACCGCGACCGCTGTGGTAAGGGACCGCTTCGGCTTGTAGTGCGGCTCGCCCGTCTCCTGGTCCGCATAGCCGAGCATGCAGCCATGGGGGGTGCACTCAAGCAGCGCGCCCTTCTCGACGAGCTCTCTTGTCCTCCTCATCTCGGGTTCGTTGTAAGCGCTGGAGCCGAGAGGCTGGTCCAGCAACACGTGTCTACCGCGACTCACGCGGTCCACCACCATCTGGTCCGCCAGGGCCAGCAGCGGTCTCGTCGCCTCCTGTGCCTCGTAGACGATTGCCGCCGCAGCACCGCCCTTGGCCAAGTTGCAACGTCCCCAATCTCCCCACGGGCCGCACGGCATCGTGATGACCGTTATGTAGGGGTCCTCCTCCAGCGACTGGTAGCGAGCGAACTGCCTGCCCTTCCGCGTAGCGCCATCCCAGCCGTCGGAGATGTCCAGGGGCTGACCGCCGTTGTAGCCGCACGTGGCCGTCGC